AAGCAGAAAAAGCTTTAACTGAATATTGCACACTTTCATTCTTGTTTTCTCTTTCAACCTTCTTGAGGTTACATTAGCCAGTTACAACTTGTCGAGACACAAGCCAAGAGTGTGATGTTGGTAAAATATCTTATCCTCTTACAACATTTCATGCACACATTTCTTTTGAGTAGTGAGCAAAAGCATGAACATCTTCCCCACCTCCAAAGCCCAAGGGCATTATGGAGAATCACAGTTTGTCTGCAAAATAAGGTGAGATTATCCTGGGTCTAGGACTGAGGCTGAAACCTTCTTTGTATGGCCGATTACTAGCTCACCTCTATGCATCAACTCATCAAAGCAGCCTAATAAGGACTCTTTATTTACAAACAGTTGAGAACGCAAAGTTCCCAATCATCCTTACCCCAAGAATAAAGCGTGGACTTCAACAGCATGCATGGTTTAGTTCATAACAGTCATTGCAGGAATCACTATATGCTTTGAGAGACTCTGAATTCAACAGGAGTAGTTCGCATTAGCTATAATGTGGGACAGACATGAACTGAGTCTGAGCGAAATGACACCAGCACCTTGCTAGAAAAATGTGGAGCACTGTGGATCAGGAACATGTAGAGAGAGCCTGAGTGGCAACAAGGCATTCATCCCAAGGACTATCACAACAGAGCCTGATCCTCTCCTTACTCAATGGGCAGATGAATAGTCCTTGTGACAGAGGATGCCTCATTTTACCCTTGCAAAGCCAAGAAGCAGTGAGGTCAATTTGAGTAGCCCCACTGCAATCCCAGTTTAGAACAGAGACTGGAAAGGTCACAAGGAATCTTCTGGTCTCGACATTGTACACACCGCCATTACAAGGTCTTGCAGTGAACACCAACAGAGATATTAGGAAAGTGTCCCTCATTGCAAGCTATTGTTCACTTTCATCAGGACTGACCAGTTGCACAGAAAACGTCATCACATCTTTAGCTATTAACTGACCACATGACAAATCTGTCTCTGTATCCCATAGACTGTAGTGGTTCAAGAAGAAAGCTCCAAATAAGGGATGGGCAATAAATGCTGGCACTGCCAGTGATGCCCACACTCCGTGAACAAAAAACAAAATGTCAGGATATCTATGCATTGCTGTTATGGCAATCACAGCAATTACAGGCCTGAATCAGGTAATCAGTCAATCATTTTATAGGCAAAATTTTGTTGTATCTCACCAAAGTTTGGAATTAAACACTGCTTACCACCAGCTCGACTCTTCTTATCTGTGAAAACACAACACATCAGAAGCTTAAAAAGAGGAAATACGTCCTTCAGCATTTTCAACACAGCATCAGAGTTAAGCGTGCAAGATACCATACTGCATCCACTTTAACACAAAAAAGGGCTCAAACCATAAATTTCTAGAATCTGGTTAGAGACATTAAAAAAACTGCAGATGCTGGAATCCAAGGTAGACAAACAGGAGGTTGGAAGGACACAGCAAGCCAGGCAGCATCTGGAGGAAAGGAGCAGTTAATGTTTCGGGTATAACCCTTCTTCAAGCCTCCTGCTTGTCTGCCTATTTCTAGAATCTGTTTTCCTTACTCAGGCTGGGTCTGGAGACAAGTGCCTTGTTCTCTAAAAAGTGTAGGTGTATTGGTGGGTACAGGTCCACGGGGGATGGTGGCAATAATTTATGGATGGCTTTTATAGATTGGTCACTGGCTCTCAAAACCCAAATTAACAGCAGTAACAACAATGTGATATACCCACAGTTTAAAACTACGATAAGACCGGGTTACAGAGTGTTAAATGTAATGAATGGAATCAGTTGAAGACTGACACCCGGGGACCTCAGGAGGAGGTGGAGATGGATCATCCACTCAGGTAGCTTTCATTGAAGAGGGGTGAAAATGTTTAAGGACAAAGATACTTGTGGAGTTTCAACCTCCCATGTGTTGTCCACCACTATTCTCCATGGATGTGGCAGGATTGCAGAGGTTAGGTCTTAGCTGTTGGTTGTGGAATTGCTTAATTCTGACTATTACATGTTCTTTCTGCTGTTTGGTATGCAAATACCGCTGTGCCGCAACTTCACCAGACTGACGCCTTTTTTTTTTTTAAGGTATTCTTGATGCTGCTCCTACCTGGACCACCTCCATCATTCATTGAACCAAGGTTGATGGCAATAGTAGTGTGGGGTATATACTGGACTATGAACTTACAGATTGCGATTGAATACAATTATGCTGCTGATAGCCCACAGTGCCTCACAGAGTCCCAGTTCTGTTTTAAATCTATCTTGTTTTGTACAGTAGTAGCTGCATCTAACATGACGGATTTTTTCAATGTGAAGATGGGATTACATCTCCACAAGGACTGTGCAGTGGTCATTTATGTCCATACTGTCATGGACTAATGTATTTCTGGCAGGCAGTTTGGTTGGGAGAGGGTCAAGTAAATATTTCCCTCACCACTTGCCACAGACCCAGTCTAGCAGCTATGTCCTTCAGGGCTCAGTCAATACTGGTGATGCCAAGCCACACCTGGTAATGGACATCAAAGCCCCTCAGCTACATTATATTCTATGCTCTTGTCACCCTTGGTTTTTCTTTTAATTGGTGTTCAACTTGGAGGAATACTAACTCATAAGCTGTGATGGGTTTAAAGTCACAAGACTTGATGGAGTCCACAGAACTCCAAAGGCTAAGCCCTCCCAACGGTATGTCATTGCTCTATGATCTCTGATGGGTATCCTGCTGGTGGGACTGGACATAGCCAGGGATGATGGTGGTGGTATTTGGCAAGGTATGATTCATTGAGTATGACTATGTCAGGCTGTGGCTTATCTGTGGGACAGTTCTCCCAATTTTCGCACAAGCCTCCAAATGTTTATGAGGAGGAATCTGCAGTTTGCCTTTGCCAAGTCAATGCTTAGCTTAATGCTGGTGGTCTGCCATTTTATTTTGCTTAGACATTTCTGAGATGCTTGACAAAATTGAGTTGATTCTAGGCCAATTCAAAGGGTAGATAAGGGTCAATCAGTTCACTGACCCTGCCAGACTGAAACCAGTCCCTCGTTCCCCCATCAAACCCTGCAGTCTCTCTTTCCCTCACTAACCCCTACAGTCTCACTCACTTCATCAATGAACCTCACTGTATCCTCACCCTCTGACACTCACAATCTCTTTCTCTCTCTCACCCTTCCTGACCCCTGAAGTTTTTCTCTCCCTCTATCACACACTGACCCTCTCTGACTCCTGCAGTTTCTCACTCTCTCTCCCTCCCTGACCACTGCAGTTTTTCTTTCTCTCTCACACACATACCCTCCCTGATTCCTGCAGTTTCTCTCTCTCATCCTCTCTGACCCCTACAGTCAGTCTCTTTATTACACACTCCCCAACCCCACAGTCTCTCTTCTCCTCACGGACCCCTGTAGTCTATCTCTCACACAATCACCCACCCACTCTCCCATTCCCTGGCATCTGCAGTCTGTCTCTCCACCGCTGATTCCTGCAGTCTTTCCCTCTCTGATCCCATAGTCTCTCCCACATAGAACGTGCAGTCAGCTTCTCCCTCCCTTCCTCCCTCGCTGACCCATGCCATCTCTCCCTCCCTCCCTCGCAGACCCACGCCGTCTCTCCCTCCCTCTGATGTCAGAAAGGAAGAATGGTGATACTGCAGATAGGATAAGGGACTTAGAGATATTTGGATCTGATGAAACTAAATCGAAAAGAAATGCTAACTAGACTGATATCATTCAGTATTCACAAGTCAGCTGGTCAAGGTGGAATGTATTACAGGTTTTGAGGGGGTTGAGAGAAGAGATAACAAAAGGTTAAATCACAATCTTTCAACTTCCTTCAGATTGAGGAGAGTAGAACATTGGAGAGTTACAAATATTATATCCCTAACCAAAATATAGGAGATGGGTGAACCTGCTTATTACAGCCTAGCATCACTGTTGGAAAAAACTACTTAGCCAGTTGTCATTGGCAAAGTTAGATCTCGTTTGGAGAGCAGGCATCATTTGGGACTGCAAAGACGTATCTCTTAAAAGAAAATTGTATCTGATTAATAAGATGGAGTGATGCTAACAGACAGGACTAATAACGGTAGTGTGGTCAATGTATATAGAGGCTTTCAAAAGATATTTGATAAAACATGTTCTGCTTCTGAGTAAGTCTAATATTTAAGCACAAAGTCTCAAAGGGACAGTGACAATTTCGGTGGATAATTGATTGTGGGACAGGAGTCAGAAAGCTGTGCATAGATGTTCTACTGACTAGAGAAATATATGCATTGGTATTAGGGCCATTGCATCACTTGCATTTGGGCACAGGAAGTATTGCTCAGATCATCACTTACAAATAACATAAGACTTAGCAAAGTAAAGATCATACATTGTTCATTGTTGCATTGAATGAAAGCAATTCTGGCCTGTGAGGAACAACAGTAGGATTCAGAGACATTGAATGGTATATTGCAATTGTTGTATTGAAATTACATTACTCATGGGAGGCATAATTTGTGTTATCAGATTAATAATTGAAAGATCGCAAGTTCCAATCCTACCCTGACATTACAGAATTTAAACTTGGTTTTAAAATAACCTGGAAATAAAAATCTGGTGTCAGTAAAAGTGACCATGAAGCTGCTAGACAATCAAAAAATGCCACCCCAGTCAGTAATGTCCTTAAGGGAATGAAATCCAAAATCTTTACCCAATCTGGGCTACATGACACTCCAGTTCTGCTTTTAACTGGCTTCTGAAGTGGCCTAGCAAGCAACTCCATTATTCTAATGGCAAGCAAAAAATGACAGCCTTGCCAGTGGCAGCAACATCCCAAGAATGAACATTTTAACAAAACCTTAAGTTTTAACAACTTACTAACTCAGTGCTAATTCAGTTACAATAAATCATAGTCAAGAAACTGCTGTGCTCTATTCACAACCCCAAATATTAATTCAAAAGAAGCACAACACCCTGCTTATCCAGGGCTTGAGCTCAGCCTGAAGCTGCATTGCAATTGAACTGGAATGAACAGTTTTTTTTTAACCCTTCACCCAACAAATCAATAACTAACATTGGGGCTTCTGTTATTGGTCATCATGAGTGAGCTATATGGCAATTACACACTGCAGTAAAGAAAAAACAATATATTTCCAAGTCAGGATGGTGAGTGGCTTGGAGGGGAACTTGAAGGTGGTGGTGTTCCCATGTATCTGTTGCCTTATCCTTCTAGACGGTGGAGGCTGTGGGTTTGGAAGGGCCTGTCTAAGAAGCATCGATGAGTTATGGCAGTGCATCTTGTAAACTTCATCCACTGCAACCACAACGCACAAGGGAGATGCATTCGGCCCACCTTGTCTTTGCTTGAATGTTACACAATTAATTCAACTATCCCACTCCTCCCATAGCCCTGTAAATATTTCCTTCCAAAGGGCACGTCAAAATGGCTGCTGAACATTACTGTTCAATCTGTTCCTACCACCCATCAGCACCTCAGATTTGTATAAAAAGGTAATAAGGTGAAAGTAGCCCTCAGAAAAACACCAGGCTGAAGAAGACTTGCAATAGTCAACTTCAGCAGGAGTGCAGGTTGTTCAGGCAGTGTAACCTCATGGACCTAGACCATTAAAAGGCACCTTCCATTTTCAGGAAAATTAACTAACTTCAACACCACTCAACAGTATGAGTGCTCCATGAACAAAAAATCAGATGCAACTTCAACAAATCTTCAGAACTGAAATAAGTGACAGTACTTACGAATGTCTCGAAAGTGCAGAATAAGCCTTGCCACCAAACTAAGATACTCCTCCTGTTGGAATAGGGAACAGAACAAAACCTGACCATATGCCACAGTCATGATAACATACAACAGTTTAACTGATAATAATAGATAAAGATCACTGGGAATGATTAATTGTGACAGTGTAAAAGGAATTTTATTCTGTATCTGACCCCATACTGCGCCTGTCCCAGGGCTGTATGATGAGAACAGCATAGGGGCAGTTTTACTCTGTGTCTAACTCCTCACAGTCCTGTCCTGGAAGTGTGTGATCTGGACAGTGGAACTAGCTTTACTTTCAATTTAAAAGAGAAGGGTGAGCTCTACTCTGTCTCGAACTTCATGCTGTCTCTGTCCTGGGACTGTTTGTTGGGGACAGTGTAGAGGGAGGTTCACGCTGTATCTAACCTCGTGTTATCCCTGTTGTGGGGTTGTTTGATGGGTCAGCGTCAAGAGAGCTTTACTTCCAGTTAAAAAAATGTAGAGAAGAGCTTAAACAGAATGGTGCCAGAAGTGAAAGTTTGTTCCCTTGAGCACGAATCAAGGTCAGCATATTTCACAGCCTTCTCCCTTACCCTTGTCTTTGCTTTCAGGAAGACATGGTTTTCCATATCTTTGCTGGATTTGGTGATTGGAGTGCCAGCTGTCCGCATAGCTTCATCTCTGTAAAGAAAAACAGCCATCAGAGGTAACAGGCTTCTAGTGACAATACACTGAAGTCACCACGGGAAAGTCCACAATTTGTTTCCCATGCACTGAAATGAAATCTTCAACTGTTTCTGAGACACGTACGAACTATTCTGCTTGGGGTTCGTGGAAAATGAGGAGCACCCAGTAACAAAAAATATCAGATTCATATTTAGAAAATAACTGGAATAAAACTCTTCAAAATCCTCTGCCACCCGCCCCACCCCCACCCCCGTTGCTATGAATTTATAAATAAACATAAATAAATGAGAAGCCTCATTGCAGACACTCAACCTCATGTCTGGTTGAATGGTTCTTTGGGCAATTTTAATTCAGTTACATCAGCTTCAACTAATTCAGGGATAATTTACTATCAATTGCTCAAAGGTAATTAGGGATGGGCAAACAAATGCTGGGCTTATCACCAATATCCACGTCCTGTGAGAGAAAGATTAACTCCAAAGATTGGTCCGGTAACATCACAGCCACCAGTTTTGGACCATTCTCCTTGTAGTGTGATGCGCAATCGGCCAACCAGTTCTATGATTATGATTCCCCAGCCAAACAGACTATGTGCTTGTGCAACACAGATCTGCACTCTTTGACAGCTTCCATTTTAACTGATGATCGTATGCAGGGAGGAGCTGAACAGACTAGGTTTGCTGGTAGATTTTGCTCACTTCAGTCCAGATGTTAAAAACACAGATGTTGCCATCACAACAAAGAAACAATGCCCAAACAGTAGGATCCATTAGAGGCCAAGCGGACAAACCGTATGTGAAGCTGCAGGATATTGGAAGGGAGCTAATTGAATACTTTTACTTTCAATAATCTTTGGTCTTCACTCTGGAAGAAGGGAAAGCTGGTATGAAATTCAGGAAAGGGAACTGTGAGGAACTTGCACAGTTTGACATGGGAAATGGGGAAGTATTGGAGGCTCTGTGGGGCTTAAAAAGACAGGGGGGACAAGGGGGATGGGAACACGGGGGACGGGGAGGGGGGAACACGGGGGACGGGGAGGGG